CTTTATTGTATTTCATTGGATTTGTTTTGTTTTTATCAGGAGTATATTTCAAATATTTTGCTCCATCAATCTGACAATGCTTGAACATGTAAGTGTGGTTTAAGCCATTGAAGAATATCAATCTATATATACATAACTAAAAACGATGTCTTTCTTTCCCTCGGCCTGTCTATCTGACCATTAATCCTTGTCCCCGCTATAAGGCAGCCTCCACTTATGTGCATTGTTTTTTCTATTTTCATGTATATCCTGTACTTGGCTTTAGCTGTTGGATGTTGCTAAATGAATAAATAAATAATTTGGAAAGAACTGCTCGGATTTGAATGACATTTTTCGGTCGGAAAAGTTTTGTAGTTTTTGAGAATTGGTCCAGTGGTGGCAGATAAAGATACAAAAAACAAAAAAGTAAAATAAAATAGCGGTAATTCTAGGCGGCCCAGTCAACTCAACGAGCTTACATCTACCAGCCTCGAGAGCTGACCGATATTTTCAGCAGACGAGTCGCATACCTATCGGTCTCAGTTGTTGTGAGTTTTGCATCTTTGGTGGTGGAGCCAACGGGCTTATAAAAGAAATACCTGGACTGCGATCAATCATCTTACTAGATTTCGTCATTTCGTGAGGGGATATTATATGCTGACAACCAAAATTTTCTGACGGCCTGAGTTCAATGTGTACGAGAGAGAAGCGCGAGAAGTGTGTATCAACACATGTTAGAACATAACCGGCTGAAGAGCGAAGGTTATCCCTACGTTGTCTAGCGACGTCGACGCAGAAAGTAAACTTTAATGTACCATCCATTCGAACTCGTACCGTTGAAACCTTTTATTGTGACAGGGCTCGCATAAATTTATATTTATAGGCAGACATATACAGAAAAGCCAAATGTTTCTACCGGCTTGAATTCAATGTAAACGAGAGAGAAGCACGAGAAGTTTATATCAACACATGTTAGAAAGAGATAAACGGAAAGTCATCACCACATTGCTTAGCGAGATGACGCAGAAGGTCGTGCAATCTGCCGCGTTGCCAATATTATGTTACACCAGAAAATGTTCGCACAGTATTCTATAATACGGAATCGACCCTAAACAGACTCGGCGCAATTCAAAAATGTGTACGCTCATAATTAAACCATTATGCATACTTTCAACATGCATCATAATCCAGGGAATTAGTGTAACCTATTGGCAACGCATACTCACTTCTCTCTCCTCCACATTGAATTCAATCCGTCATGCAATGCAAATTTGGTTCTCAGTGCATATATTATACATGATTACGTGTTAAGAGTTGTTATAACCAGCTGTCAAAATTTGTTGACAAAGCGTTTTACATCAGACTTCCAAAGAAATGAGGCTACCGTGTACGGTGCAATTTGTTTTTTTTTTGCATCAAAAGCCCAAATAGTGCCTTAATGGTTGTGACAGACCTAGTATTTTTTGATGCCATTGCACTACATGAAAAATTGTCCTTGATGTTATTCCGAATGCGTGGGAAGTAATCCACTTGACGCCATTCCTCTTGGATTCCACATTGATCTACATTCCAACGTATCCTGTACGGTACTGGTTTTATTTGTTGACATTCCATAGTTCTCTTTCACCCACTACGTAAAGCAGGTCGCTTCAATGTCCTTTGAAATTGAATATAATGCATTTTGATTCGTTACCGAAAAGCCTTTTGTTAGTATTTTTCAAAGCTCAAAGCCCACCCTATACATCTTTTAATTGATTTTGATGCATACACACTGCATGCATATTGACAAAAGAAAAGCTGATGGACCTGTTTGATCATGCCGATCAGATATAAAATTATTTAAGGTCTAATAAGCTATTACTGCAACAGGTTTTTTGTCACAAGAATGTAAATATTTAGTTATCTGATTTTCATAATGTAAATATGTTTGATCAATGCCTGAATTTAACATCTGGATTTCTCAAGAAGAAAAACCCGTTGCAAAACTGGTAGGACAGTGTATCAGCTTCATTAATCAAGTTCCTCTACCTTTTCGCATGGGTCATTATGCGTGGTATCTCAAGAAACTAGAAAGTATATTAATTTATTTTTAAAGTGTGATCCATAACCTCGTGATGATCCAAACATTCATTTTTTGGACCTGCATTTTATTGCAGGGTCAGTTATACATATACAATTCAAACGAAGCAGTTTGGTATAAAGTACTATAAGGTGCAATTTCCAAATTTTTTGAGATATTGGATAATATTAATAATTATAATAATAATATATTCATTTCCAACAGGTATACACCCAATCACAGGAAATTAGTGAAATCTTAACAAAATGGTACCATATATACACATGTATACACATATATATACATGAGCAGTAGTCATTGCCACAGCCAACGACTAGTTGCGTACAAAATACAATTACTTGTTAATTGGGAAATTGGCAAAACTTTTAGGCTTAAGTTGACTCTTTTGACGATGAAATCAAGCTTTCGGCATTCTCTATGGAGCCATCATCAGGATTCTGAAAACACAATTGTGATGCTAGCAAAGAAAACAGGACAGATTTAAAATGTCAGACAACTTACTCGTCGGTGAGGTTGCAGCCACAAGGTGTTTCAGAAAGAACGTAGAGAAGATTGAACTTGTGTTCAGTATAAAAACAAAAGGACGGGGACATTGTTGAAAAATGACAGATACCTTCGTTAAAAGTTAAGAAAAAATAAAAATTATATCAATACATCCGAACAAGTTAAAAATATTACACGTGGGGAGACATTTTGTTGAAACAATCGGAATGCAGTCCCTAACCTTCTACTACCGCTACACGTGGAGAGGGGGAAGACACGGAATGGTAAAGCGTCAACAGATGACAAGTGATTGACGCGACGGACCGTGGAAATGTACACCTCCCTGTCCAACTTTGGGTATGAAGTATACGAGGGACGCTCGGTAAATCTCCACCCAAAATTACTAAAATGCTGGTATAAATTGTTTTGGAAAAGAGTGTGCGGTTCATATGAGTGCAAGAATGTGTGATATTGATACAACCTTGAAAAGATGGGTTATGTGAGTTTATATTAAAAATGTGAGTGAGAAAATGTATTCTAATTTTGTGAAGATGTTGGATCAATTTGGACATGTAGCCGTTCTAGCTTTTCGCAATTCAGCAGGTAGGAATTAATGACACTGAGCTGCTTAACATCAGGATTTTTATTCATGCAATGATCTGTCATGAAAATGTGGGACATTTCTAAAAATAAACGTTTTGAGAATCTTTTTTCTTTATCAAGAACCTCAATACTGCCATAATTCATAGAGTGACCTGTGTTGTTAATATGCGACGCCAAAGCACATCTTTCTGGATGTAATCTGGCATCACTTTTGTGTGACGTTATCCTGCCTTTCAGCGACATAGAAGTTTGGCCTATATAAACTAAATTGCAGTTGTTGCAATTAATACGATAGACAGTATTGGTTGAATCAAGCAACTGAACCTTATCTTTCATTTTGGACAACAAACTGTTGACTGTGAGAACTGATTTACAAGCAAAACGACAATTAACGGTATTATACAGCCTGATCAATTCTGGTGTTAGTTTTTGATGTATGGCAAAACAACATAGTTAACTCTGGAAATAGGAACAACCACTGTAGTGGTGTTGTTCTCATTAGTTGAAGAATTAATGGGTATCTGGTTGGATTGACCCGTGCTGTCATTTTCACTATTGTTATTAGTGATTGGCAAAATATTCGGAGGAGAGCTGAACAAGATTCTGTTAACCAAATACTTAGGATAGCCATTGTTGATAAATAAGACTGAAAGCTTCCTTAAATTGGAAAGATGGAAAGTACTGTCAGAGATTTTTATAACCCTGTTCTTCATTTGTTTCACCAGGTTTATTTTTATTTTAAGTTCATGTTAAGACCTGAAGTTCAGGAACCTTCCGGAAGAAATTGGTTTCCTGTACCAGTCTACCAGTAATATATTGTCATTGCTGCGAATCAATCTTGAATCCAAAAAGGGAACAGATTGATTGTCATCTCCTTTCTTCGATGGTGAACTGGATGTAAGGATCATAACTATTAATAACCTCAACAGTATCATCCACCCTATCATAAGGAAGACAAACGATTATGTCGTCCACATACTTTTTAATGAAAATTAGATTGTATGGCAATACTTGAATGACAACATCAAGCAGGTCATCCATTACATATTCTGCCAAAATTGGAGATAAAACAGAGCTCATGGGGCAGTCATGTGTTTGTGAAAACACTTTGGACCGGTTGTTCAACTCCAGTTTAAACCGCTGTTCAGATTGAACTAAGTTCAAAGTTGAAAATCAGTTGTACAAATAAAGCTCAAGGCTTGAACCCAGTTCAAGTAGGCATAGAACCTGACTGGTCGATGCCCCTCGGTTAAACTCAGTTCAATGTGAGTAACATAAATATCGTAGCAAAGGTTAGCGAAGGAGTTGTGTGTTAAGTTTAAAAATTGACATTCCCGAAGAGATAACTGATGACGAGGACTTCTTAGAATTAATTACCATCGTACATATACCCAGGTTACCCAAAACTTACAAACAGAGACCTGATAATTTTCGGATTTGGAACGACACTCAATTCTTGCAACGTTTTCGGTTATCAAAAAGTACTGTTAGATCCATAATAGATAAAGTTGCAGATGATATCAGAAATATAACAATACAGTAAGTTCATTTATAATTACTAGGTATCAGAGCCATTCCTGACGGGCGCATATTGTGCTCCAAATTGAAGAATAAATATCATTACCTATTTCAAATTTTATATATTTTTAAACATAATTTTTTTATAAATTTATACAAATACCAACTTATGGGAATGCTGTGTTGCATCTAAATTGAAAAATCGTTCTTTCATTGTCGGTGAATTTGCAAAAACCATCTGAGCTGCTCAAAGGCTACTCACTCTACATGAGTGGCCCTGGGTTGATATAATGCGGGTGGGATTTGGACAAATGTGTATAATAGCTATTTTTTATAGAAATCACGCCAGATTATATGGTCTTTGTTACGCTACGTTACCTTGCAACTGGGTCCTTTTTGCAAGTAATAGGGGATGTACAAGGTATGGACAAACGAACTGCAAGCAAGGTTGTGTCGAAAGTTATAAAATCATTAGCAGTCCATTTTAAAGAATTAATAAAAATGGCGAAGAGAGAACTGTGATAGGTCAAGAATTTTTCAATATTGCTAGATTTCCTAGGTGCATAGGAGCTTTAGACTGCACCCACATTAAAATAAAATCTCCAGGTGGTGCAGACCCAGAGAATTATAGGAACAGGAACGGTTTCTTTTCCTATAATGTACAGGTGATTTGCGATGCCACTTTGAAAATACAAAATATAGTTTGCCGTTGGCCAGGTGCATCACATGATGCAAATAGTAGAGTTCGAGCCTTATTTGAAACCGGACATTTTGGCGACAGTTTGTTGGTTGCAGATAGTGGTTATGGTATTAAGCCATATTTAATCACACCACTAAGCCGACCTGAAACACTTATTTAATGAATCTCAAGCATTAGGAATTCGTGTAGCGAAAGAAAAAATTGAGCCAGTAGTTGTTGCAACAGCAGCCTTGCATAACCTAGCAATTATCATGAAAGACCCACAACCTGCAATAAAAAATGAAATTGAAGCAGCAGTTGAATTCATTAACAACTTTGATATTGTACCAGTCCCAGTTGCATCTAATAATAGGACACGATTATTGTTAATTATTTCCAGGATTTATTGTGAATGATTCAAAAATTCAGTTTTTAGTATTTTTCTAATGTTATCTTCGTTTCATACTAAGTGAAAGTGAAAGATATAAATGATGCAATAAAGAATATTGGAGATTTTATGTATTTATTCAAAATAGGTAAATAAGATGGCAAGATTAAGAAAATCAAATTTTATATTTATTTAACAGATACTGTTTTTCCATATTTAACATTTCCATTTTAATGTTATGTACCTCATCTTCCCTCTTTTTTCTCTCTGCATACTCTAGTTGCATTATTTCCAGTTTCTTTTTGTTTTCTTTCATCAATAGCTGTTTTTTCATTTCAAATTCATCCAAAAGGCATTTTTCTTTAGAATCTTCCAATGATATTTTGGATTCGACCCATTTTTCCATTTTTGTGCAAAAAGCACCCCTTTTTTTGAGCAGTCGGTCTTCACTAAAATTAAAATGTTTAAGGAACATCTTATTGTGATCCACATTTACTAGCAACATATAGTATTTCATTACTAATTTCATCAACAAGAACAAAAAAATTTACAGTACAAGATGCAAAAACTTTCCACTTTAGTACTAGAAGTAACAATTCCTTTTTGAAATTTGTAATTAATATGAAATATTTCTGGAGATTATAATGTAGATTACCTTCTGCAGTTCTCAGAGCACTTGATTTTGGTGTGCGCAAAAGGGATGTACTTAATTTGCTCCAGTCCCTCGTTTGATGTCTACTGGATTCTGGACCTTCTAAACGATGCGCTATTTGATTTTCTTTATCTGTAAAATCATGAATAAATGAGGATGCGCCACAATAAGGCACATATATTGTGTGTATTTACTAGCAACAGGTAGTATTTTATTACTAATTCAATCAACAAGAACAGAAAAAATCTACAGCATAATATGAAAAACTTTCCATTTAAGTTCTAAAATAGGTTTTTTTTTTATTTTCATAATTCAAGATAAATGCCATTATAAAAAGCATGCAGTAATGACGATATAATAGTTCTGTAGATTTTAATGTAGATTACCTTCTGGAGTTCTCAGAGCACTTGATTTTAGTGTGCACAAAGGGGATATATTTAACTTGCTCCCCTCCTCCGCCTGATGACTACTGGCCTCTGGACCTTCTAAATGAGACACTTCTTGATTTTCTTTATCTGGAAAATCATAAATAAATGATAACATCAAAACTATTTATTTTATTAGTACCACTGTTTTGAACTTCCTGTGTCTCCTCTGAAGTGATTTCATCTGAAAGACCTTAAATTAATAAAAGTACATTATTTAACATACATTCGAAACTTACATTCCTCAATAATTAAGTCCCTGCATGTAGCATTCTCAGGTATGTCACAGACAACTAAAAATAAAATTAACTTAAAAATATATTCACTCAACACAATCCAGCTTCCTTACTCATGTCATCATACGCTGAAGGGTGTCCTTCTATTCAGACACCTAAAATGTCTTTGACTTGTTCATCAATATCGGTGAAATGAACTGTTTTTGAGGCACCTCCTCCTGTAGCAAACAGGGAACAGTTCTCCTGTGAGAACTTCTTCTTTGACCTTTTTTTGATATTGTCATATTTATTCTTCAGTGTTTTACTATCCCTGTAGGTCACCGCTCCACTGTTAAACTCTTTTGCAATCATATTCCATGTCTTTGCTTTTGAAGAGTTTGTTACTGCATCCGTTTTACGACATTCAATAACATCTTTATATTTATTCAACAGTCTAATTAAAAGGGATTCTTCTTCCCTGATAAAGTTACTTGTTCTCTTAGGTGCACTCATTTTTCAAATAAATCCACTACTACGAAGAGAAAGAATCGGCAGCAATTATATTTTTAATAAATATAACATAGGAAAGATAATGAAGCAATTATATACCTACCCGCTCTCCTGCAGATGTTGCGATATATTTATAGTCGAGAATAACAAGCTAACTTCAAAAAATGATTCCAGATTGAACCTACCGCTTCGGCCTATAAGTAAAAGCAAGTGAAAGTAGGGTTATGACTTCGGTCAAAATCACGTCAAAATGACATTATTGACAAGTCTTATCATTCCGTGCCTAATAACATAGTGCTTGACTGTCAGATGAACAACGCACATGCATTTGAACTAAGTTCATATTTTAACTGGAGTTCAGGTGATCTACAGTTTAACCGAAAGTTGAACAACCGGCCCTCTGTTGTTAAAGGTAAAGTAATTATTCTGGAACAGGTAGTCTACGATATTGATGAAAGAATCCAGAGTTAGGTTGCTGTGTTGGCAAATTAGATCACAATGTTTGTTGATGGATCTGATGCAAGCTTCTAAATACACATTCCTGAACAGTGAGACTACATCTAAACTCGCAATAACATGTTCAGGGGGTACTTGAAGTCTATTGTTGACAAACATCAAACGAGTCTTTTATAAGGTATTCTCCTTTGATGTGAGCTGACTTTAGAGTATCTGCAATTAATGAAGATAAAGCTAGTGTGGCTGATTCAACAGAAGCTACAATCGGTCTTACTGACAGTACCGGTTTGTGTATTTTGGGAAGAGCATAAAATTTAGGAGAGACAGAATTATAAGTGGTTAAGGACTTCTTTTGGTCTTGGTTGATTTGACCAGTGCGGAGTAGCCTGTTAACAATGTCATAGCAACCTTTCTCTACTTTAGATGTAGGGTCTTTATTGATAATCTTGTAATCAAATTATTACATAGGTCAAAATATTGTTGTCTTAACATGATTACGGTAACATTGCCTTTGTCTGATTTTGTAACAATTAACTCGGGATGATCCTTAATAAATTTCCTTGTTTTATTTAGCAGGTTGTGGTAGAAAGAGTGTTTTTTGTTAATGCTACTGTTGTGAAAGTAATTTGTGATAATATTGGTGGAACGAGTTATCGCAATGTTCCTTTCTGTGTCATCACTAATGGAAGAAGATATAGAATCAACATCAGCCAGAATATGTCTGATTGCAATGTCACTGTTGACAACCATGAACCATATTGTTTGGATATAATATTTTTAATTAGATACCACGCGAAATAACCGAGCAAACATTAAATCCTCATCCTGTATGTGGTACGATACAATCAATAGAACTGACTTTCAATTAAGAATATCTAGATAACAGTTCTAATACTCAGCACTTTTCGTATATGAGGCAAGGGACTATTCTAAGGTTATTTGATGATTTTCGGTGTACTACTTGTTTCAGAAATACAGGGCGATCAAAAATTTCGAAAATAATATTTACGCTTAGCATAAATCACAGGTGACGAATCTACAAAAAAAGTGACTATCTCTATTGAGAATGTAAGGCTCCACTCTTCTCGTGCAGTGACGAGCTCTTCCAAGCGCACCAGGGTTACCTATTTTTTATCGAGCTTCATCCAGTAATTATCCACTATTATTTCTTTCACTTGAGTAATGTAACCTTACATGGCCTATTGGGAAGGTTTGATTCCAAATCCAGCATGCGCATCCATCAATATTCGTGTGTTTCGGAGAAAAATCAACGAGCAACAATCTCTGGATGTAATTCAGTAAGATATAAAACCTTGATATATTTGCAGTTTTTATTCTAGGCTACTTGTGTATCACTAAGCTTCACTGCGTCACGCTAACAAATTATGCTATTTTAAAACACCTTTATTACTGGTTATATTGGAAAGGAAGTGATATCCTTGACATATCAAGGAACGAAAGAGTCCTATAAAATGATGGGTGAATACTACTAAGGGTATACCCAGCTCAAAACAGGAGGGGGGGTGTCAGCTTCATGAAATTTTTGGTAGAAGTTCCACAAATCATATCTACTTTACTATGTTTTCTGGTTGGATTTCAATGTCTTATTCGTTGGCACAGAGTCATCCACGTGCATTTAGAATTCATATGAGTATATAGGACTGCTTTTTTGAAATCTTCATACAAATATGTGTTGCACGAGATGCTTTTTTAAGTAATAATTTAGTCGTCTGCAAGTTTGAAGTAACACTTGAGATATATGTGGAATTTTTGCTATATCGAAAATTTTATATGCCCAGGTCTAAAATTCGTCATTTCTTAGTCGTCATTATCCAGAGAAGAACTGTAATCGAGAAAAAACCTCAAATGAAGATATAACATAGTTACATCTTTTTTCAAGCGTCTGTCAAGTCTGCCCACCATCAGACAGAAAAATATTTATACCTACCGTTTGCTAATCAGTCTCGTTGCGATAGAGTAATCGTCAAAAAAAATCATTAGTCCATCTACAAGTTGGAAAATATCTCTGGATTTTGAAGAACTTTTGAAGTCTGTAACTTCATCGAACTTGACTTCAATCCTTTTTTGTTTTTGATAACTTTGGATACAATCAAAAATTTCTTTAGAGGAGACAAGATTAAAAAAAGTCAGACTTGGTGTTTCGATATATTTTAAGGCGAAGTCAAGAGTTTATTTGAAGGAAGTTTGTGAAATCCAGTAAAACTCGTTTTCCAAGTTTTGATCACCCAGCCACTTTTGTGTAAGTCCAATCACAACAAGAGGTGTCCAATTCGAAAATGTGTGGAGTTTAATCTGAGTTGAATCGGGAAACTGCTGCTGCAATATGTTATCTAGAAACGTCACAATACTAATTTGATCAGACTAACTAGCCAAAAGTGAACTCTGTTATAGAAGAAATTGTATACCTGTATAAGAATTTTACAAAGGAATTATATACTCGTAATCCTGAGCGTGAATGCAATGACCCTTCATCTCGAAGTAAAAAATTCTAAGTCACTTTTTATCAAACTTCAAAATTATCAATGAGAACTGACAGATATTTCTAGTTCGTCTCATCGGTTAATTGATTCTTGTGGTGGCCCATACATGTGTGGACGGAATTTTGCGCATAAACAAATACATTTTGGAAAACTCTATTAATGGGATGGTATACATGACACTTGAAGGCACATTTCCAAAATATTGGCCATTATACAGGGTGTCCCAATTTCGACCTACATACCAAAGTTGTGATTTTTCAAATGGAATGCCTCAAATTTTATTGCATATTTCGATAAACCGATTCAAAAGAAGAAAATGATACTATGCGGTTTTAGTAATTAGCTAATAAGATATAAGGTGTTTTGTCTAGGGAACCCCTCCACTTCGGCAACCCTTCAGTCCGCATTTTGAAATTTGTAGTGCTGAATTTTGTATCAAAAAAACTTACACACTTCAGCTTTTATCTTATTTGTTACTTTTTCGAATTTTAATTTTTGGTGGTGGTAAAACACTCAGATTGTAAATATCTAGTTTTTCTAAAACATTCCAAATGCATCACCCTGTATATTTGTGCAAGTTTGGATTCAATTTTTTATAGGCTTTTCTTTGATACTAGACACATAAGGGTTTTTACGGATATTTTTTCGGTTATTAGCACGTCTTTTATGGAACGGCTTAATTCCCTAAAATATCGCATCATCCTTGGAAAAAAATAAATTGTTGATTAGTTACAAACTGTCAAAATTAGCTTTGTGAGCATTATATTAAAAACATGTTTGAAAATGGATTTTCCTAAAAAAGAAGTGGTGAATATGGTGTCGTTTTGGGCAAAGCCCAAATAAATATTTTCCATTTATAAGCAAGAGTACCCTAATATGCCACATCCAAGGCCGGAAACATTTTCCACACTACGAGAACCTTTTGAATCAAGTGGAGCAGTGGAATTATAGTAACAAATGTATAAATAATCCAAGTGTCACCAATGAGGCGAATAAGTTTGGAGGTTCTATTAAAGTTGCAGGAAAATCCCCATTTAAGTGCACGGCAAATTGAAGCAGAAACTGATATATGCAGAACTTGGGTCCAAAGGATTATTCACAAGCATAGGTAGGAATTTAGTAGAACAATGCTAAATAAAGTGAGTGAAGACACTACTTTCCTGGATAAGGTTCTTTTTAGCGGTGAGGCAACTTCAGCATAGCTGTTGTCAACAGGCATAATATTACACTATTATGCGACCCTTACTGGGTTAGGCAAATAGACTTCCAAAATAAATGGAGCTTGAATGTTTGGGGAGGAGTTATTGGCACACAAGTTATCGGTTATTTGGACACCTAGAGTAACAATCATTGGATCAGTCGTGGCCTCCTAGATCACCAGACACGAAACCGATGGACTTCTTTCTATGGGGTTACGTTAGGCAACAGGTTTATAGATATCCGCCATCTACCCCAGGAAATATGACGGAAAGGATTAAGGATGCTTTTCTGAACATAAGCGAACACATGCTGAGGGATGTGCAACGGTCATTTATCTAAAGACTACGGCTCTGTATTGAACATAATGGAGATATTTTCGAGCAGTTTTTGTAGATTAGGTCTTGAATAGTGATAGCTTTTTGTTTATATTGTTGTTACAGTTGTTTTTCTCTATTACTGTTCTGATTGTTATTAGTGTTTACGTCAAATCTGTACTCTTAGTGGAAATATGGAACTAGCCCACTGTTTGTCTTTTGTTTCCATCGGTGATGTGATTTTTTTCCTTAATTTTGGTGTCTTGCTCTATCAAAAGCTTAATAACTCAAAATCTAGTGATTTTATCTGAATCAAACCTTATACCAAAAAAGCGTATAAAAAACTAAATCCAATCTTGCACAAATATACAGGGTGATGCATTTGAAATTTTTGAAAAAACGTACAATTCGCGTTTTTGACCGCCCTGTATGAGCAAAAATCAAAAATTCGAAAAAGTAACAAATAAGATAAAAGCTGAGGTGTGTAAGTTTTTTTCTGATATAAAATTCAGCACTCCAAATTGAATTGGTTTATCCAAATATGCTATAATATTTGAGGCATTCCACTTGAAAAATCACAACTTTGATATTTAGGTCAAAATTGGGACACCCTGTATAATTGCCAATATTTTAGAAATGTGCCCTCAAATGTCATGTATAACAAGCCATAAATAGATTTTCCCAAAATGTACTTGTTCATGAGTAATATTCCGTCCACAGATGGTTGAGCCACCCTGTATGTGAGAAAACCTTTGTAATGATTCACATAAATAAAATCGTCAAAAATGTTTAAGCTATCCAGTGACGTAACTTTTGCGACAAATTAGGCATGCACGGTGAGTTTTTA